CTCTCCCAAACAATACAATTTTTCGTCTAGATTTAGGAAACTTGTTTGCATACGCACACCGATAGCAGGGATTCGGTGGGACCCCCTTCTATGAGTTCATTCAGGGGAGAGTCACGTGTGAGGAGCAGCTCGGGTTCCCACTCAAAGTAGAAATAGATGAACAAACAAGGATTATAGAGGTTGGGGTGACCCGAAGTGTAACACTCTACTCCCACTGTATTGGTGGTTGTACCTCCTTTTTTTAAGGAAAAGCAAAAGCTTTGCCACTTCTGTATTGAAAGAGAAGGAGGAAAAGGCCTCAACAATAAGAATTTATAGGGTATATCAAAAGAACAAACCACAAGAAAAAGAGGGACTACGCAACTACTAGCCGGATGGGAATAATTTCTGTGAGCTTTTGCAGCCACTGCCTTGATCCTGGTCTACGCATCCTCCTTGATCTTGGGAATGATGGTGGTTGGCGTAGTAACAACATGCCAAAAGATCCTGGCGTTTCGTTTACACCAAAGCTTCCATGTCACTAGAATAATCATCGGATCTTAGGGCCTTTAGAGTATTTCAATTGTGTATAGGAAAAATTACTAAGAATATATATCTTTGAAACAAATAATTTGTAACCTATGATTTTCTTTAAAATTCCTATTAAATAGACAATTCTACAAAGCTTTTGAAGGAAAATAAGCACGAGGCTCTACCTTACATTTTCTTCTCCTTATGAGTTAAAATTTGTATTTCTCCTATGTGTTAATCAAATGACAGTGCTGTAACTTTTATGTGTTTTCCATTCCTTAAGGAATTTAGTGGAGATAGGCATCCTATTCATAGGTTCTTCGTATTTAATTACTCCTACTCTCTCCGTTAAAAAAAAAGACAATCTAGAAGAAGATGTGATCCCTTCTAGTACAACGAATCTAAACAATAAAAAGGATCATATCTCTTCAATTCTTACGTTTTTTTTAGACGGAGGGAGTATATTTAAAAAGGATCTTATAATGGTTAGTTAATCGCTTAATAGATCGATGGACCATGCTTCTGCTGCTGTGAGGCATTGATGGATGGGGATCATTGCATGACATGAAACGCGTACCATTAATATTCTGGAGGAGATTCGCAGGCACTTCTATACTCCTGCACAGTTGCTACTAGCTCTCCCGCAACATTTATCATATCTCTGTCCTACTTAATTCAATCACTCAATTACACACACTGACAGATTCAGCGTGTACGTGCTTAATTAGCGTGGTCCGTCTAATGTGATGATCGATCGATATTCGGTCGCTAGCTGCCAATGCATTAAAACTCAACCGTTGCCATTGTTTCTCAGCAGAAGCATGAAGTTTCTCTAAGGCTATGGGTTTTGTTTTTATTTAACTACTCCCACTTTTCAAGTTGTTAAACAATATATTTTTTAAATACTTTTTAGCATTATCATACATGTAACTTCTTAATAGCTCAACCTTGCTAAGTTGGCATTGAGCTCTTTGTCGTCCACATCTTTCTAATGATGGTTGGTGATAAAAAGCTTGCCGCGAAAGAGGAAGGAGGGGCTCATCAAGATGGTACTGCAAGGCTTTGACTTTTTGAGTTTTTTGGATGAAAGTTTTACATTTTTTCAATTGAAAGTTGTATACCTTAGAGATGAAAGTTTTATATTTGAATTAAAAGTTTTGTGATTTTGATATGAACGTTTTAGATCCTGCTTTGGAAGTTTGTAATTTTTTAGATGAAAGCTTCATAATTGGCTTAAAAGTTTTCATGATTTTGAGTTGAAAGCTTTGTATCTTTGAATTAAAAGTTGTACGATTTCAATATGAAAGTTTCATAATTTTCAATTGAAAGTTTATATGAATTTCGGGGATGAAAGTATGAAGCACAAATTAAAAGTTTTGAATATGTTTAGAATTTTAATTGGAGTCCGACTCCTCGACGCGAGCATGAGACGTCGTGTGAAGTATCGCCTGCATGCGATACTTGTGTAACTGGTGCTGAGTCAATTACCTCGCTAAATTTAAATCTATGATATGTGATAATTTATACTAACGAGATAAATGCGTAGCTCATTATGGATTAAAAACCTAACTCGCTTTGACTCGTTATAAACTACAAGCTCGAGTTAATTCGACTCGAGCCAATCCGTCTCACGAGTTTAAATTTTTTCTTTCGTGGAGGGAATTTAGGCCCTATATAGCAGAGCTCCAGATATTAGATCACGATAGATTTGATTTTTATATGTTAACTTATAGTGATTTAAAATTTTAAATTTCATCTAAAATAAAAACAAATTGATTTAGTCAAATGTTATACAGGTAATCGTAGATCCATATCTATGGATTTGTGGAGCTAGAAATACCGAGCTCTATAAAATTTTGGATTTGGAGTTGTGCCAAAGAGGATCTTAGGGCAAGTACTATAGGTATTTAAGCATCATATCCTAGGTGCCACCTAAGCTTAAACGATAAGGTGGAGGAGATAGAAGATGAAAGAGAGGATGAGCCACCCCTTATAAAGGGGCAATCTCTTCACAAACTTCAAAGGGGACTACTCCCTCCGTACATATAAATGTTAATGAATCTAAACACATACATATGTCTAGATTCATTAACATCTAAATAAATATGGGTAATGTTAGAAACTCCTTTCGTTTTACAATGTAAGTCATTCTAGCATTTCTCACATTCATATTGATGTTATGTCTGGATTCATTAACATCAATATGAATGTGGAAAATGCTAGAATGACTTACATTGTGAAACGGAGAAAGTATATTGTAAAACGGATGAAGTAGTATATTAAAGGTAATATGATGTATGAGCTGCCATCTAATAAATTAGTTGATATTGTGGACAACATTAGATTGACAAACATCTCCACTTGCCCTTATTCTCGTCATTTTTACCCACGTACAGTGATCAATGTACCTGCAGAAATGGCAGGCAGACGCGTCCCAGTGCACCGTTGGCCTCATCGTGGTCTGCTGCGTTGCCATGCCATTACGTGATCCAGTGTGGGCGCCGCGACACGTACACGCGAGATTGCGCTCTCCGAGGACGACCCAAACGCGCGCGTGTCAGCGTCAGCGTGCGTGCGCGCCTCTGCCCTTCGCGGACTCGCGGCGCTCACTCGCGGGCCGTAGCTATCCACAAAGAGGCCGTCACGGCCCAATTAAAATCCACCGTGTCCGAGCAGCAGTAGGCCGGCCCTTCACGTCGGCCACGCGTGGCCGCTCCTCCTCCTCCCGTGGGACGCAGCCCATAAAAAAGAAAAAACGGCGGAATTTTTTTCATTTTTAAATTTATTTTTTTAATATTTACCGAAATATTATATCGATGGAAAGATTTATAAAATAGACCCTGCCGCCTTCCATTTGGGCGGCAAACTGACGTGGCACACGGCGCCGTGTGCGTATTTTGTGCCTAGTCCCTTGCAGCCCTCTGTAAGGGTAGCAAGGGGCTAAATGCAATTTTTGCCGTGCCAAAAAGCAATTGGCTAGTTCTTTTTGCATCTAAGCCCCTTGCTGCCCTCGCGAATTTTGCACGGAGTCCCCTTGCCGCCCTCGCAGTCCTCCAAAACGACTGTCATGCGTCCATGTGCCACGTCAGCTTGCTGCCCAAATGGAGGTCAGCAGGGTCTATTTTTGTAAAGAGAAAATCTACTGTACGGTCCGTAGACACGGGATAATTGGATAACGTTTTACTCTTATCCAATCCCACTCTTTTTTTTCTCTCTTCCAGATCCTTCGTTATCCTCCTCTTCCGCCTCTCCTTCTTCGCCCCTCCTTTTCCTCTCCCCCTCCTCTCCACAAAAGAGCTTCTATGCAGGCATGGTGATGATAGAGCAGCCCCAAAAATAAATCTAGAGTACTATGCCCTCCTCACTGCTAGATCCAGGGCGAGTGGGCAACACCAATCTCATGGCCACCTCCTCCGTCTCATGTTTTTGAGCCATGGTGACACTCACTGGATCTAGCTCTCATGGCGGCGGGGGCAACTTGGAAGAAACAAGGTCATCAGGAACTGGGAGGATAAGGCCCAACGTGTGCTCCTCAACCTCCTCCTTCAACGTGCGTTGTCGATGGTGATGAAGGGGCAACGTGATGGTGAGCCATCATGCTCCTCGCCCGATTGTGTGCAGGTATGTCTACAATGTATCATCAGCAGCCGGTACTCGTAGGTATCATGTCTGATACCTGTGGTATCGCGGCTGATACATAGGTATCAGACCCGGTACCCCGTATCATGCCTGGTACCTGTGAATATCACGATTGATACCTAGGTATCCGGCCTGGTACCTGGTATCTGGGTATCATGGTTAGGTGTCAGACCTGGTATCCGTAGGTATCAGGCCTGGTACCTGGTATCTGGGTATCATGGTTGGTACTCACACGTATTAGATCTGGTACTTAGGTATCAAGGCTAGGCTGGTACCTGCAAAGTATCAACTATCAACGCTTCCTCTCCTCTTTTCCCTTTCCCTCGGCTCAATCTCGTTCCTTGCTGTTGTGACTAGTATCGTTGCCTACGACACGTAGGGGGTGCGAGCACATGGAAGTTGGGGGAGGGGAATGACGCTAGACTTACGGGAAGAAAGCTGATACGCTAGCCTCTATCAAGTATCCCGTTCGAACGGAATTCCGTTCTCTAGCAACTCTCTTTCGTAAATCTTTTGGTCGATATAAATATTTCTGTAAATATTAAAAAAATAAATCTAAAAATGAAAAAATTCAACGGCGCGTGCCGACGTGGCCGCTGCGGCGTGCGTGCGTGCGCCGTGCCGTGCTGTCGCGCGTGACATGACAATCCACCGGCGGGAATCCGGATTGGATTGGATTGCCCCGCATCCTCCCCCTTCCCAATTCCATTCGCCTTCCGCCCCCGATTCAACCATCCTCCTCCCCCCGTCGCCATCCACCACCGCCCCTCCCTCTCGCCGCGCGCGCGCGCGCGCACAGGCGGGACACGCACCTAGAAAGAAAGAGATAGCGCCACAGCCACACCACTGCGAGAGAAATTCCTCTCTCTCTCTCTCGCTCCCGCGCGCGCGCCCCGCGCCGCCCGCGCCACGAACACCCAAGAAAAGAAACGCCACGCCACGCCATCTCTGCTTCGCCATTGGTGTGGATTGGAGCTTGCTGCGATATCGAGGAGAGTCGCGTGCAGTAATACTACTGATAAATTTGGTTGACGGGGTTAAAGATAGGAGTAGCAAAGAACGTGGAACGATTTCTTGGGCCGCGGGAGGGAGCGATCTTGGGGATGGCGGCGCCGCCGACGCCGTCGCCGTCGCTGGACTACTGGCGCGGGTTCTTCAGCGGGGCGCGCGCCAGCATCTTCGACGCCATCGACGCCGCCATCCGCGTCGCCGCCGCCGACCACCCGGACGCCCTCCGCGCGCGCCGCGACGGCATCGCCGAGCGCCTCTACACCGCGCTCGTCGTCCTCCCGCCGTCGCCGCCGCGGAGGCGGCGACGCGGGCGGACCGGCGGTTGCTCCTCCCCGACGCCGCGCGCGGCGTCCCTAGCCTGTGCAGCTCCGACCGCGCCGAGGCCGTCGTCACGGACGACGACGACGGCGCCGCCGCCGCCGTCGCTCCCCGCGGTGACTGCCACGACCGCGTCGCCGCCGAGGCGTTCCGCGTCAAGGCCGCCCTCTCCAACGCCCAAGAGAAGGTCCTCGCCTTCCACCTCGGCCGCCATAGCCGCTGATACCATCTACTAATTCATCTGTTTGTTCGTGCGCGTGATCTCGTCTCCTCTTGCAGACGGAGGCCGAGCTGCTCGAGTTGCTCCGTGCTCTGCAGCAGCTGGAATTCACGGTGGACGCCATCAGGGTGAGCCGCCATGAGCTGCTTCTGTTGCTGCTGCATATGCTTCCATGTCCATTGTTCATAAGTCTAGATTGGTTGTAGGTCACTGAGATTGGAACAGCCGTGAAGCCTCTGCGGAAGCATGGTTCAAAGCAGATTCGGCAACTCGTCCGATCGCTCATTGAGTAAGTTAGCATGAATTCTACCAGTTTCCCTGATTGATTTCCAACGGTTTCAGGCGATACAATATTTTCACATTGCTGTAATTTACACTGATTTATGTCATTGAATGTTTCCTTGATGTGTGATGGTTGATGGAAACTGTAGTGGTTGGAAGGCTGTAGTTAATGATTGGGTGAACAATGGAGGTGCTATTGTAGGTGAGGAATGGAAATTTGATGAGCACCTTCTAGTCCTCAATTCTAGTGTTCTTTTTAGATGTGATCTTAATACGATCTTTCTGAACAAAAACAAAAATCACAGATCATACTCCACAGTCGATGGACGGTTCTTGCTTGGAGCAGGAAGAAGGAGGGTTGCCTTCCCCTCCCATGGATGAGGCTGCTTTCTTCGCCACACCGTGTACTTCCATCCAGTTATCTGAGGTACCTGCTATCTACATGTCAATTTTGTTTCCTAGATAAGACCATGATCCTGTTACCTTTTTTTTTTGACATCACTGGAACGTTGTAAGGTTCTATTTATGATCTGACAAAATTCCATCTTTCCTTTTCCTCGGAAACCTGCTTTTGGTTTCGAGAAGTTCTTCGATGAAATGGATGATGATGGAAGTGAGTGGTTGCACTTCCTTGATCCATCCTGTGATTCTTCTTGGTCATGCCTTTGTATTGACATAGGTGCTTCTCTGTGCTTCAGACATTAGAACCAACGGCGAAGAGAGCGCGCAACAACATTATCCTGCAAACCAAGAGCCTGCCAAGAAGCAGCTTCCCATGGGCCAAAGGTATGATCCAGAACAAAACTGGAAGCTTGACCAGTCTGCGATGAGGCAGTCGCAGCCATATGAGCCTTCCAATTGGCAAAAGAAGCAGCAATCCGTCACCGGGGCACGACAGAGGCCGTCAGCTGCAGCACATGGTCCCTGGACGCCTCAGAAGATGCATCTTGAACCGAAATTTTCAGAAATGCGACCTAAGCAGCAACCAGATACCTCTGTGGCTCAAAGAAGACCGAAACCAACTATGGCTGATGTAAGCATATCTTATTGTTCAACAGCTACATGTTTATTTCTTTGTGTATGCTCTTGCTCAAAAGTATATATCAATTTGGTCTTTGGGTGCAGCAACTGTCAAGTCAGGTCGATCAAAATTCAGTTCAGGTGAATGCCAAGCTTGAGGCTACAAAACGGATGCTTCAAGAAGGTTACCAAGAATTCAATAATGGTATGCCTTCTGTTTTCCTCCACTGTCTTGTCGTAAAATCATTCTGTGTTAAGTTGAATGACTGTCTAGGTTTTAGTCTTTTAGATACAAAATCATCAACGAGTGCTTTGATCGAAACATACTATTTCTTGAATCTTGACTCTCGAGTAACTGATGTTGTGAATTCCACGCGCATTGCAGCAAAGAAACAGCGAACAATTCAAGTGGTAGATCCGCAAGACCTGCCGAAGCAAAGGAACCGAAACCTACAACCTAGTTGCAAGCCAAGGAACAGCTCCAGCAACAGCTTGCGGAATCGGCTAGGCATCCGTCGCTGATTCCCATCAAGTTACCACCAATGCTGGAAATTTCTCACCTTCAGTTTCATGCCAAAAGAACCTTACTCCCTCTCACCGACTGGCTGCTGCTTATATACCCTGGATATTTATCGGTCATATTTTTAGCCCAGCACCGTACATTGTCAACAACAAGGCTTCTCTCAAACAAAAATGTGTTGAGATGCATCGTTGTTGCACTCTAACAAACCTTGGGTCATAAGTGGCTTGTTCCAATGCTTGTCAAACTTGTAGAGATCATAGTAGTTCTAGTATATATATAATACACCCATGATATTGCTGAAAATCTGCAGGTGTTTGTGGTTGCAAATTTGCAACGATTTGCTGAAAACCTTGGGTATCTGTTTTTCATTAAAAGGGACATTTTTCTTGCATCCTTTTCTGCCAGACAGGCATATCCTGGTGGTTTGTCTCTCCTAACACAATATATATAGGTCAAGCCAGTTAAGTGTAGCTTTCAGAAGTAAAGACTTGGACTGAAATTGGCAGACAGGTACAAAAACAACTGTGTTTTCAGCTAGGTTTTTTCTTCTCTTGGAACGTGTAGCTCCTCCATTCGAGTGGTCCGGATCAGTGAACCTTGGGTTAGTCAGTTTGACTCTCATTGTTAATTAATTAGGTATAGTTAATTAGTTAATTAATTAATTTGTGGCCTAAAAAGGCTCAGTGAACTAATTAATCACGATGAAGCAGGCAAAGTCGATGCTTTGGTTCTAGATGGTCTAAAACAAATTAGCCGGTCACCCATGTGCAAGATGGAGTGACCTGATTCGTGGCCCAGCTTTCGAGGTGACGTGTCGATATTGTTGCTGCTGACGTGGAAGCCTTTTTCGGTTTGTGGCTACAGCGAGCTGGCAGTGCTGTCACTGTCGCGTGGGTCCCCCGGTCATCGCTTGGCCCATGTGAGCCGTGCCACGTCAGCTATATCCACCCGCGACCGCCAACAGATTTTCATTGAATCGTCATTTTCCTGTTTCTTTTTTCTTCTACTGATAATGGAAATGGACTACTAGTATATCTGTAGCTTCTGCTTTAATTATTTTTCTTTTTCAGTGATGCTGTATTATATTGTGCCTGGATGGAAATGGTGAAATATGTTTGCGTTGTAAAGTGTCGATGGATGGAGGATGAAATTAAGTTTATAGCAATTATCATAGCACACAAACGAATAAATAACTATTACTCCCTACGTTCCATTTTAAGTGCAACCATGAGTTTCCATGCCCAATTTTGATCGTCTGTCTTATTTGAAATTTTTTTATAATTAGTATTTTTTGTTGTTATGAGATGATAAAACATGAATAGTACTTTATGTGTGTCTTATATTTTTTAAATTTTCTCAATTTTTTTTAAATAAGACGGATGATTAAAATTGAGCACGGGAAAACATGGATGCACTTAAAATAGGATGGGGGAGTAGATAAGTTGATATATTAAATTTAAAGAAGTCTTCTAAGAAATGCTGCTGAAGAAAGATTTTTCTAAAGAAATTATCCTGCTCAGTAGCTTGAGAAGTGTATCCATCATATAATAATATATAATTCTGAGTATGTATCTAATGTTCTCTCTCCAATTTTAAAATAAACTAACTTTTATATCCAAATCTAGACATATCAAGAGTATATCTAAATTCTCATATAAAAATAGAGGGTGTAGATGCTATACTACCTCTATCTTAAAATGTTATAAGTTTTGGCTATGCATCTCAACATGATCGAGTACAAAAGTAAGTTATTATATTTCAAGATTAAGTCGTATATTTTTTATATTACTATATCCGTCCCAAAATAAGCGCAACCGTGAAGATCCGTGTCTAACGTCTTACCGTACGTCTTATTTGGAAAATTTATGAAAAATTTTAAAAAATAGTCACACATAAAGTACTATTCATGCATGTTTTATTATCTACTTCCTCCGTTTCATATTATAAACGGAGTATGTCTAAATTCATTAACATCTATATAAATGTGAATAATACTAGAAAATCTTATAATATAAGACAGAAGAAGTAACAACAAAAATACTAATTATAAATTTTTTTAAATAAAACGAATAGCTAAATGTTGGATACGAAAAGTATAAAACTAAATAGGACGGACATACTATCATTTGAAACCGCCAAGCATGATCCTCTTGGGAGCGACGACGTTGACGTGTCCCCATTCCTAAACCGCGGCCTTTTGGAGATGGGCGGTGATATGCTCGAATCAATCTGTTCTTCTTCCTTTTAATTTCCAGCATTCAACACTTGATATCTCTCTCTTCAGTCACCATCAAATATGTCCAATATTTACGGCCGCGTTTTCTTTCGCTCTCCACCAGCCAGCTGCAAAGCACAACAAGATTTTTTGTTTCCCCTTCTAACTTCAGAACCACCAAACTTAGCTTAAGTATACTTGAGTAACATACTCGTGGGTAGGTCAGTACTGCTCCTAAATTATTGTAATTAATATCCACTGTCGATTCTGCGAGTTAAAGCGTTAAAAAGTCAGCTATTGAAGTGTCAAAAGTCAGTTCCAAGTAACGGTGACAATTTTTTTTATTAAATTTCGAGGGAAAGTAACGGTGACAAATAAGTACTAGCTCCACTAAAGACCGTATGTTTTCATTGTTTATATTTAATGTTTGATCATCTGTCTTATTTAAAAAATACTTATGATAAATATTTTTATTGTTATTAGATAATTGTCAGGGTTATGGATACCACATATCTAATAGTAGTTGACTACATCTCGACAGGACCTACCACATACCATGTCTTATACGGAAACTGACTTCGGATATGAAGGGAGTTCCGGATAAGGAAAGACAACCTGAGTTCTACATGGAAACGACAATGACTGCTCGGATTGTATCCATATTGGTTTCCCTAGTTCTACTTGGACAAGGGGACACCTATGGGTATAAATACAAGGCCCCCTAGGAGGAGAGGGGACACACCCACCACAATCTACGGAACAACAGAAGTCACAACATACAAGCCAACATACGCCAAGACAAGATGCCGGATATAGACTTCAGGGATAAGCACGGCTAATCCCCTACGGTGTCTCCGGATACTGTCAGGAAAGACGAAAGCGCTATCTCTGATCTCGCGGGCACGGATTCGAGGAGGAAGACTACCCTGTTGTCGACTACGAGTCAGAACTTCAGACCGCCATGTCGACAATAGTTAGATAGGCTATCCCAAATATTGTACTGATATGATTATGGTGAATAAGAGCAACGACCGGCTTCGGCCAACAGGATGTAGGGTTATTACCTGATAATTCAGGGGCCCGAACCTATATAAAAATCCTCGTCTCTGTCTCTTTTACCTCAGTCTCACATATATCCTAGTACCAACGATCCCCATACTATGCAAATACCGGAATCGGGACATCAAACATCGACAATGATAAAACATGAATAGTACTCCCTCAGTTTTAGATTATAATATGTTACTGTAGAAAAAAATAGTAATATTTTTAACCCAAGACAAATTTATTATGTAAATATATTCAATTATTGATTTAGTGAAACTAATTTGGTATTATAAATATTACTATATTTGTCTACAAACTTAGTCAAACTTGAAACAGTTTGACTTCAACCAAAGTCAAAACGTCTGATAGCCTGAAACAAAGGGAGTACTTTATGTGTGACTTTTTTTTATAAATTTTTTAAATAAGACGGACGGTCAACCGTTGGATATAGAAAAACATAACCGTACTTAAAGTCATTGGTTTAGGCTGTCTTTAGATCCAGGGTGAAAAGTTTTGGCGTGTCATATTGGATATACCGATACACATTTGAAGTATTAAACATAGACTAATAACAAAACAAATTACATATTCCACATGTAAACTGCAAGACGAATTTATTAAGCCTAATTAATCTATCATTAGCAAATGTTTATTGTAGCACCACATTGTCAGATCATGGAGCAATTAGGCTTAAAAGCGTCTCGCAATTTACACGCAATCTGTGTAACTAGTTTTTTTTTTTGCCTATATTTAATACTCTATACATGTGTCCAAATATTTGATGTGATAGGGTAAAAAAAAAAATTTACCCGGGATCTAAACATGCCTTTGCATGGAAGTAGTCAATAAGGCAAAGGACGGAGGAAGAAACAAGTCGGCAAAAGGCAGACAACCAAGATAATGCCGGCAAACTCGCGTGCTTGTCATCATCATCGGTTGGAGAGACAGCCACTGACCACCATTTTTGTTTCCGGACAAAGAGGGAATTATTGATGTGCTTCAACACCGAAGCCGTCCATCGATGATATTATGATAATATAATCGATGATTTTATTATAACTTATTAGATTTATAAATTGTGATTTTAGTATAAAATTGATCGTTGGAATTTTACAAATTCGACGAAATCTTATTGTAAACATCAAAACGGTTGTTTCAATCGCGAAGTCCTCATCGATCAGAGCAGGATATAAGCCGACTACATGTTTTGATAGAAAATTAAATGCAAGAGCTATAATAAGTTATGTTGACTGATATACATAAGCTACCTTTATACATACTCCAAGATAGATATATTAAATATATAAATGAGAGAAAGAGAAAAATAAATAAAAAATAAAGGCAACCTCATAACTAATATATTGTAAATATTAGCTTAGTACTATTTTGATGGGTTTATAGCTACTCCATCCCAAATAAGTTTATTTTCCACCTATTGCATACTCCCTCCGTATTTTAATGTATGACGTCGTTGACTTTTTGACAAACGTTTGACCTTTCGTCTTATTCAAAAAATTTATGTAATTATCATTTATTTTATTGTGACTTGATTTATCATCAAATGTTCTTTAAGCATGATATAAGTATTTTTTATATTTGCATAAAAAATTTGAATAAGACGAATGGTCAAATGTTGGTTAAAAAGTCAACGGCGTCATACATTAAAATACGGAGGGAGTACATACCAATACAAAATTAAAAAAAAATCAGAATACCTCAACTTTATCAAATCCCAATGCAATTATTCCATACTTTATTTATTTCCAATATAAATATTTTCTACTTTCATAAACAGAAGGACGGAGAGTAGTAATTAGCACTACTATTAAACTTGCTCTTAATTATATGTAATCCATTTATTTTTTTTAAAAAAATAAGAAATAAACTTTAGTAGTTCCGACCGGTGGAAATGGGATAGGATTATTCCTACTGTCTACTACTAGTACTTTTTGAAGACATTTCAATCTTATGTGATCAAGAGGATAACGCAAATGATTTAACTGTTCTTCATTCACACTACATTAAAAAAAAGGCAGTTATG